TCTAGGGCTAGTTCTAGGCCATGTAAAGCAGCTCTAGCCTCTGCATCATATATCTCTAACGCCTTGCCAAAGGAAAAGATCTTAGTGTCGAGAATAGCCCTCCTCTTGTAAGACATACGCCACCACCAGTACTTTTGTCGTCCAGGCGGGAGCCGTCGGTAAACACAACTAGGTCGGTAGGTGGGACAGTAGCTAGGAAGTCAAGGAATTTGGCCTTAAAAGAGCTCTTGTCTCCACCAGGGTCAGGTCCCGCTACCTCCAGTAGGTGGGCTTGTCGGTTGAACCCTCTATTCCACGTAGGGTCTTGAATGGGGTCAATCTCTTCAGAGGGAGGGAGGGCTCTGTGAGAGCGGTAAATGAGCCTAGCTTTCGAGCTAGGGTTATTAACACATCGTTTCAGCGGGTGGGCAGGGTCTAGTCGTCTGATCCTAGCTTCTAGTGCTTCGCTTCTTGTTATAAGAGCAATTTCAGAGGCTAGGAGGCCCGATTCCATAAGGAGTACTGAGGTGGGAGTGGTCTTGTATACTGGGAGGATGATCCTAGCACACTTGGCTACCACTCTATCTAGCAGAGTTAGGTGACGGCCAATTCGGTTGTTTGTAGTCCCTCCTCCCTTAGCCCTGGCTCGTCCAGGGAACCAGGTCTCGCTTCCAAAGTAAGCGACTGATAGAATGCAAGCTGTGGTGGCCTGTTTCAGCAGGTAGGAGGGAGAGCCTCTTGTTGTGTTTGTGGTCCCTTTTAGAGCAGTCGCTGCTAGCGTAGCCTTACTAGCCATTCTCTTAACATGGCTATGGAAGGAAAGGCGGGGATCAAAGAAAATGCCAAGCCACCGGAGCTCTTGTGTTGGTTCTATTGTCCTGTTTCCTACTACAATGGAGGGAGGCAAACGTATACCCCTCCCTTTTTGCTTTCTCTTACGAGAAAATTGGATAAGTTCAGACTTCTCAGCGTCGAAGGTAATGCCCTCCTCTGTTCCCCACTCCAAAGCCTTAGCTACCTGTTCTGCGAGTGCCTTGATATTCCCTGCCTTCGTGGGCCCTGAAGCAAGTAATCCAATGTCGTCCGCATAGCCGAACCTTTGTAACACTGGGAAGGAGCCTACCCCTGAGGTGAAGAGTGGCTGGATGTAGAGCATGAAGAGGATAGGCGAGATAGGTGAGCCCTGGGGCAGACCACATTGAAGAGGAGTAGAGACTCCTATTTCTCCGTCGAGCTTTACTTTAACAGATCTGTTAGACAAGAAGGAGGTAACCCATGCTACCAAGCTATATGGCCATCCTTGCTCTCGTAGTCTCTTGATTAGGCGGCCGGGGAGTACTGCGTCAAAGGCACCCTTGATATCAAGTGTAAGAAGGGAGGCCTCTTGTTTGTCTGCGAGTGCCTTCTCTATGTCGAAGGTAAGGCAGGTAGTGAGGTCTGTGGCAGCTCTCAGAGGGAGGGCCCCGAACTGGTTTGGCCCTAGAACAGAGTGCTTAATAGCTATCCAGGACACTCTTTTTGCGAGAAGCCTTTCAAGCCCCTTTCCTAGGACTGAGAGTAGGGAGATTGGTCGGTATGCTCGAGGAGACGACTTATCCTTCTTATTCGGCTTTGGGATAATGGCGACAATAGCAGTGCGGAAGATCTTAGGATGAAACCCTGTCTCTATGCACCCCTTGAAGAGAGAGTATACTAGGTGTGAAATCTGATGCCAGGCAGCTTTAAAGACCCCTGTTACTAGCTCATCTTCTCCTGGTGCAGTAGAAGCCTTTCCTAAGACCGATTCTTCAACCTCACGGAGGGTAAGAGCTGCCCAAGGTAGAGCGCGTGTAGGGGTGGTGGGGGTGTTGATCGGTATGTCCCCTACTTCAGCCTTGTTTGTGAGTAGCTCTTGTATAAGGATCTTCTGTTTCTCCTGAGTAGTGAAGCCTAGCTGGCCAGCTGAGTCCTTCAACGGGGGGGACTTGTAGACCCCAGTGCTCTGGTGCCACTTGCATATTTTAAAAACATCCTTGCTCTTTGTAGCTTTGTCAATTAGGTTGCGGAAATGCTCTCCCTTCGCCTTCCGGATCTCATGTCTCAGAGCCCTCTGAAGATCTTTCGCAGCCTCTGGGCTAGCTCCGAGCCTTCGAGCTTTTCTAGCCTCGCTGGCCGCTGACTGACACCCCTCATTCCACCATGGATGTCCAATCCCATGCCCAAGGCCTCGCTTAGCACTACTGACATACGCACTATGTACGCATTCAATAATAAATCCTGCTAGGGCCTCTAGCGATTCCATGTCTGGCTGTTCTAGAATCTCGTATAGCCATTGTGCTTCTAGCTTTCCTTCTAGAGCTGTCTTAAAGGCTTTTAGGTCGAGGGTGCTAAGCTTGAGAGGAGGCTGCCCCTCGGTTAAGCCTCTCACGCATGGCAGGCGAGTAAGAATAGGAAGGTGGTCTGAACCACACTCAAAAGCCAGGTTCACCTCTGTATTTACTAGTTTAAGCTATATATACCTTAACTATAATAACAAGGGATTTTCAAATATAACTAGACATCTCATTTCTTCTAAGCAAAGTTATTTTGACGCTCTATACTTATTCTTTACTTATTATTAAAGATTAAGCCTAATACAACTATGGGTTTATAATAGTAAATGATTATTCGCTAGCTCCGAGGTAGCTGCTCGTACGGGACTAGTATGTTCCGCTAGCGTACTATTGTATCTATAAGTACGTAGGCACTTAGCTAGCTACACTTGCTCGGATAATATAATATTAGAGACTTAGTTATTACCCCTAGTAATATAGGTCTTTCGCATCACCCATTTGACTGAATACCTAAGTCAAACCAACAATAACTCCTTTTAGATAGTAAGGTAATTTAGTACTATTCTTTTGGTATTACTATTGTCGCGATATCTCCGTTCTGGCCAGGGAGGGGTAGTCACGTGGTACTGTCTAAGACAGTCCATAACACCACCATATATTAGCTAGCACCCACCCTCTCTTAGAACCACATACGAATATACAAAGATCATATTCAGTGTCCGGGCTAAAGAAGCCAAACCAACAAATATATCTGTAATAATAACGTGTACTTGAAAGTAGACATAAGTAAATATAACAACTAGGTCAAATTAAGCCTCAAATGCCCAGAAACGCGGCTTGCTTAGCCAGGCGACTTTGTTCTACGAGCCTATCCTATTTGCTTTACTTTCAAGCACGGGCCTGGAAGGGATAAGTCTGAAATGTGTTACAGGACATTGAAATGGGGAATTATGTAGACAGAGAGTCCCTGGATCTGCTGCATCAAGGCTGTCCATTCTTAAAAATTGTAGGACTTATTAAAAGTGATGTTGTTGATATTATGAAAGTTTGGATCCCTCCCCTTTAGTAGTACGCACAGGCCCTCTTTTGGAGCGCTTGGCTGCAGGTAGGAGGATAGTATTCATAAGTACTATAAGTACTACTATTTAGTATATTAATAAAAGTCGGGACCCACTTCGTCCCAGGCGAAATAAATGTAGGTTTGCCAGGTGACTAAGGTTATAAACAAGGTAGAAACCCCTGAATAGTATCAATCGAGGGAAGAACCCATCCATTGGGAAAAGATATTGACCAAGGAGTTCAATTACTGCTTATAATTAGAAAATCTGCTCATAGAATAACATGCTTCATCGACACATCTGGCGCCGACTGATGTGATTGGCACCAAGCTATTCCTGGTTTTTCATGGCCCTCGCGGGTGTGGATGGCAATGCATTAACATCACCACGAGCCGAGCCATCACAACAAAGTCCCTCAAGATCTAAGCGAGATGATTTGCAACACCCCGAGAAACACATGGTACTGGACAGAATCTAAATCAGTAAAAACTTCGATTGTCATAGTGACGCTGGGGCGGAGTGGCCTATTTGAGAAGATTGCCGATCTCGAAACAAGAACTTATAATTTTGAGATTTCCGAGAAGGAGTTGACATTAAATGACACACCAAAGCTTATGCAATTCATCAATGGCAAGTGTCATCATCCTGTCCTCTAAGCCAGTGAGTCTTTCATTTTTACCCGTTTATAATTTATGTTCAACCAGGTTTTATGAATTGGGGCGATAAAGTGGAAACGTCTGTCAAAAATAACTTGAAAAGTAATGGGTTAGTAGCAGACTTAACCAGTTAGATCTATACGAGACTAAAACATTCCAAAACGAGAATGTACTGGCGCGGTACTGTTCAGGTAAGGACTGTGATTGCTCGAAGCAATTAGCGTACGTTGATCACTATACAGTGTCAGCGGTGTTACTGAATGGACTGCTGCTCACCACATGACTTCGTTGTATCTCTAACACTACTCTGGTCAATACGGCGTTATCTCTTTCCTTTGGATGACCTTGATCGGCAAATCAGGGATGGAGCACTTAGACCAATCGTCACAGACGGACCTGTATCAGAAAATGACGATGAAGACCTCCAAGCTTTTCTATTGACCGATCTTTATGAGAACAACATGTGGAATACTCGTCTTAGAACCAGTCCCGAGCCTCCACCGGTTGCAAAGGGCGCTCTAATCAATGGCACGATGAAGGATTCCAAAAGGGCCGGCGCCTACGCAGATGTTGTCATAGAAAGAGGGAATACTTATCGCCTACTTCTTATCAATACTGTATCTTACAGCCGTGCATGCTGGGTTCGCAGTCTCGCTTAACGATCACCGTTTTCGTAAGACCTCTTTTCAGCGTGGAAAATGAGTTGAGTTGAGTTGAGTTCAGTAGTGGCACCTACTCAACCCGCTAATTTCATTCAATTACAGATCGGTTGGCATGTAAAGTCCGGTTTTGGAAATCAACACGGCGAGAGGGAGCCAGAGATTCGCACGATACATACGTCGGGCTTGATGAAGTTTGAAAATGAATTGCAAGGGATGGAAGAAATGGCGAAAATTTCAGAAAGGTCACAAATTAGCTGGTTTGGGTTTGTGACACTTCTACCTACCAGCACAGCTTCTTCTAGGAGTAGTTGAGGACAAAAACTGCCTTCGTCATCACGTGATGGCGTTTTGAGAATTTCATAATTAGTACCGTAAAAACGTGGGGGAGGGGATAATGGTCTCGTTGAATAGGGGTAGTGATTAGAGAAAAGCTTAGATCCACGATATTAAGCCATGGAATAGCGTCCAGACAACTATAAAAATCTTTTGCTACTTAAATTTTCAGATGGGACAGTAAATCGTGGTACGGAGAGAATCTTTCCAAGTAGCTGCCCAGTCTAGAAAGGTACAAGTTTCCCTCCCCGACGTCAAATACCCAATCGCCGAGAATATCACAAGAACCTTTCTCTTTACTCGCTTTGTCACAATCACCCTCAGAGTCCGATCTTTCAGCCATGAATACAGAGAAACAGTTGCTGGTATACAATTATCCCCTTTAATATATACAATCTTATGAACGATTGTATTATAGAACGAAGTTGCCATTCTTCATAGGAAAAACCCACTTTGTTATATCTGTGAATTCAGAACAAACTTCGAGCCAGCTAAGAAGAACTCGACAGCGAAAAAATAGTGGAACTTTTGAAAAAGTGACAGGTGAAGCTCGGGGATGCTTCTTAAGACTTCTAAGTAGAAGTTTTTAACACCCACAATATGTAGCCCGGTCCAAGTATCTTGAAAAGTCCTTGGCTGAACTCGGCTTGTTGGAAGACAGCCTTCCTTTCCACAAATCTACAGCGAACCGAGTCTCCATTCGTCAAAATAGGGGGTCGCGCTAAGCGAACATGAGATCAAGAATAACAAGAAGAGAGAAGAAAAAGACCACTAGTACCCCGACCAGAAACAAGAAATCTTGGGACCGCATAATCTGCAGATACTTGTTCAATCAAGCCCGAGTATTGCGATATCCTCTCGCAGAGGACTGGTCCACTCGGGCTGCCTTGTTGCACCACCAACGGGCGTGTAATTGGTGTGTTTGTGATTATGGAAAGCGAATTTGTGTATTGAGAACAGAATAGGGATTGTATGACTTGGTATGGTGTTCACTTTAGAAAGCCACCATTTTATGGCAGGGGGATAGTACAGTAAAGCACATTAACCTAACGTGGTTTCTTGCCAAATTCCCATTCCGCGGCGTAGTATATCTCCTTTGAACTTGGGATCCCTCATATTTTGGTCTATCTAGACGGATTCTCTTGACTTACCCTCGTAAATCCCATACTATCCATATAATTCCGAGTAAAGAGCTACAATATTCCAGAACAAGTCAGAACAAAATCCAACCAAACAGAACCCCATTTCCCATCAAGCCCTCCTCCCCCAAAACCCTTTCCACACCCCCTCAACCCCCAACCCTACACAACCTCCCATCCTCAGTCGGCAACCCATCCCAACTCCTAACCCCCCACCCCTCACTCCCCACCCCATTAACCGACCAAAGCAACCCCTCAGGATCAACCCTCCCCTTAACGCCTAGCAACCTCTCATAATTCTCTCCAAAAAAACTTCCCTGCCACCCAGGTTCCAACCTATCCGCTTCATTCGCATAACTCCCTCCCTCACTCGTCAACTCCCTCAGCGGCTTCATCGTCACATCCGCAAACTTCCTCCGGATCCCCATCTGCTGCTCTTTGCTCGCATTCGCATCCCACGTCACAAAGACGATGACGTGGCTGAGTGCTGTGCGCCAGGCGGGGTGGACGGCATTCCCATCCGCGCCAACGGGTTTCCCGACGGAGAGGGTGGGCGAGTATTGATACCCGTTGATGGAGTGATCTTGGTTTATCAAGTCACGGAGAACACGTATAGTCTCGTCCAACTTGCCGTTCTTATCGAAGTTTTCCCTAGGAATGAGACGAGAGGCGTAGGAGATGGTGGGTGGCATGTATGAACCCCCCGTCCTCGGTTTATCAGTCCAATAATACGCCTGGTAATAACTCGGGAACTCCTCCATCTTCATCGCCAGATTAATTCCCAGCCTTTTCATCTCTTCCAACCACGGGGCAAGTAAGGATTGTGTTTGCTCCATCGACTTCCCAACCGCGAAAAACTGACGTATCTCAAACAACAATTTCCCCCCAACCTTCCCCCCCGTAACATCACCCTCCGGCCAAATATACCACTCCGCCGCCATCCCCTCATTCGTAAACTCCTCAAAACGACTAAAGTAACTCTTAATTCCCGCCCAGAAAACCTCCAGTGTGAGATTGACATCTTCCAAGCCCCAAGAAAAGGACGCAACAGTAGTCCTCACATCCGGAAAAGCTTTCACCACCATCGAAGTCACGATACCAAATGTACTCCCCCCTCCCCCTCTGACGGCCCAGAACAAATCCTCGTTCTGAGTCGGCGATGCGGTGACGAATTCGCCGGAGGCGAGAACGATGTTTAGAGAGAGGATTTGATCGGCCCCTAGGCCGTGGAGGGAACTTAGCATTGAGTGGCCGCCTCCGAGTGAGTAGCCGCCGTAGAGACCTACGGACTGAGGTGATGTGTGTTAGTATAAGGCTTTGGAATGACTAGCAAGAGGGGTTGGGGAGGAAGGGAGATAGAGATACATCACAAACTCCGCCAACCACCATAAGCCTGAGTTCATAAGCGACTTTGTAAATCTCCCTTGCTTGAACACCTGCTCCTACATGGAATGCCGGACCGGTGTATCCCTCTGTTATATACTCGTCATGGTAAACGATATCCTTTAGATGCTAGAGAAAATCAGCATACATCCAATCCCAACCCCGTTCATTGCCCCCGAAATCCAGAAACCCGTCGCACATCCCACCCTTATCTACAAACCAGCAATCTTACTCTATGACTGCTAGACCACCCAAGAAAACACTCCAACCCTCCCAATTTTCGATGACAAAACCTTCACAAACACCAGAAAACAAAAACATAAAAAAAAGACTCAACTCACAAAAATCCAAACCCCCAACCCCCCCCCTCCAAGACTCCTCCCCGAAAAATCATGTCCCGTATTCTTAACCACAAGCCTAATACCATACATGCTCGCAAACCTAACCGCATATTGGATCTGTTCCACACATGTGACATTCACTACGTAGACGGGGTATCCGCCCTGTGGGGTGACATTGTATTAGGTTTGGTTTTTTATACGGTTTTTTATATGCATATAGAGGGAGAGAGGGGGAAAGAGGAAGAGGTGGAAGAGGAAGGGAAGGGAAAGAGGAATACGGACCTGTGTACAAGTTTGTCCCCCGCTCCAGGCCGCGCTAGGATGAGATGTATTCGTATTAATGATACCAGGAGGCAAACACGTCAACCCCTGAAAAAGGATCGAATAAACCTCAATAGGATGACTAGCCCTACACCATCATCAGCACCCCTCTTTCCCCCTCTTTTCCCCTCTTCCCCCCTTTCCTCCCCTCCCGCCTCCCTCCTCACCTCCCCCCTCTCTTTTCCCCAACAAACAAAACTCACCTCTCAAACCCCCCCCACTCCCTCCCAACCCTCTCACACTCCTTCCCATCCACCTCCCCATCAACGTCGACATAACAAACCCCCGCAAAAGGTCTAGGTTTCAAAAGGCCACCTTTTAACGTGCTATTTAAAGACCCCCAGAGGGTGGTGTTAGGCCATGAAGCGTCCCCTGGGAGGGGTTTACATTGTTGATAAGGATGAGGGGGAGGTGGTAGAGGGAGAGGGAGGGAGAGCGTTTCGAAGGGGAGGAGATATGGGAGGGACGGTGTGTGGATGGTGGTACAAAGAGGGAAGTGGAAGTAGAGTGTGAGTAAGAAGGGCAGGATTTGGGGGAGTGTCTTCATTTTTTTATTTTTCCGATTACGGTTTTCTGGGGGAGATGAAGGGAAGGGAAGGGTGCGACGACATAATCTCCATCGTTGAGATGGACAGGAAGAGGAGAAAAAAGAAAAGGAATGGCAAATAATATCCCACCGGCTTATAACCTGGATAAATCGAGAGAAACACAGGAGATGCTGCATCTCGGTATTGGCATTATCCATACAGTACCTAAGCGAGACGAGATGACTATCGCTACACGGCAGTCACCTGAAGACCGAACACTCGATTGCTGTACGACGTATACCACGATGACGCACTATAACTTACTGCATGCCACCTAAATAGGCTCTACAGATACAACTCACATCACAGCCCCCCCATTTCCCCCCTCCACACCCTAAACTCCTCCCCAAACCCCCTCTTTTCACCAACACCAACACCCCTATCCCCACAATCCCCCTCCCTAACCCCCCAGTTCCCCCAGCACCAAACCCCCAACCCCAAGCCCAACCAAAGGAACCAAACTCGGCCGTCCATGCGCACACATAAAAGGAAACACACAACCCGCCAACCTGCTCACAAGACCCTCACACTGCTCCCGCGTCAGGGGGTCATTAAACATAATCGCACTTCTACACGCTCTTGAATTCAAAAGGTCGAGGATCCCCCGTGGACAGGTGTGGATTTGTTTGAACCATGTGGGTTGTTCCTCATTTTCGTTTTCATTCTCGTTTTCATTTTTGGGTAGATAGGGGATGGTGGTTTTCTCTTCGCATTTCCAGGCTTCGGTGCGGATGAGGTCGATGAGGAGACGGGGATAGGATTTGCATCTTTCCGTGATGCCGGGGGGTAGACTTGTTACTGTGATCTTTTGTAGAGTTTTCCCTTTGCTCTTCTCGGTACTTTGTGGTAAGGAGCCAAATGGAGGGAGGGCAAGTAGAATTCCCCATCTTGAGAAATGCTGTCGGTGGGTGCGAAGTAACTCAATCTCTCTAGACGAAATTTCGAAATGAATCGTTTTCTCCAAAGTAGTGGTTAGAATACCAGCTTCAGAACAGTTGGGATTTGGGGTACAAAGTTCTTCGAGCAGATTTTCAATTCGGATCCGTTCATCTGCGGCATGTTGGTCTATGATGACAAGCATCTCATTTTCGTCTGATTGAGATGCATTTGAGTGGCTAGTATTAAGCTTGACCAGTATGAACTTATTGTCAACTTGCGAGATGATTTCTGCATTTAGTAATGCTTGTTTCGAAATACGTCCATTTATTCCAGACGAATCTTTGAGGGCGCGATCAATGTCGATTTGAGTGCAGACATGCTGATGGCCGTGAATCATATGACGAGTTGTTTCAGCAAACTCATCAATTGACACTTGTGGTATTGGTAGTTGTGCTGAAGCAAATACAGGATTATCCCATTTTTCAAGGAGTGTTTTCAACCATGGACTGGGCTCTTCTGTAGATGTGTCAATTTCTCTCTGGATATTGGACCTCGAGAAAGCAGGTCCTTCTGAAAGCATAGGCCTAGGAGGAAGGCTACTTTTTGATTGCGGCCTTGCTGGCACAGTATGGCCAGTTCTCCGATTAACCAAAGATTTCACCTTGGTGGTAGGATTGATCCATTCCACTATATCATCATCACTAGAGTGATCTATCAACGGTATTTGATTCTGCGGTGAGGACTGAAGCTGTTTTGTTGCGCTAGTAGAACTTGTCAGAGTGCGAGGAAAGGTTGCTGATTCCACATCTGCGAACGGACGACGTATGATCTTGCCAGTTGAAGATAAAAGAGGGGGCTGTTTTGATTTTTGAGCCGTGGATTTGGGTGTGCTATTACTGGATGGCTTCGCCACGACTTGACCAGATTCAATAGTTCGTGGTTCTGGGTCAGAAATTTGCTTATATGGATTAGAGCTGAGAACCGCATTACCCTTTTTCACTTTAGACCAATTTTCGAATGGTGATTCCGGAGGTGCTGACGTTCGCCGAAATGATGGAAGCTTGATGTTTGTTCCCGACAAATCGCCTGAGTGAAGTGGGGAGCTTGTTCTATTAGAAAAGCCGCTCTTTTGGCGTTTGGACTTTGAATGGCGACTTCGAGTAGGAACTGAAGCTGGACGCTCGATCTCGGTAATTTCATGGCTGTGTGCTGATGCTCTTTCTGCCTGTGGTGACTCGTTGCTGGAGCCCTTGGTATCTGGGTCAAAACGAACCTTTCGCCGATTCTTTGGTCGAAAATGATGGCGTGTAAGAAACTCGGATATCATGGCCTGTAGCAACTCCAAAATGATTCCAAGATTGCTTCCTTTATCGTCCAATACACTATCCACATCTAATCCCTGAGAAGTCTGAGAAACGGTCCTTTGCCGTATGTTGATATAAAACATGGGCCATTTTTCTACCCCCTTTTTTACACCCTTCAATTCTCGGTTAGTATAGCCGTCGGATTTGTAGCGCGCATCATTTTTTCGTCGCTGGCGTTCGGAATCATCTAGTTCCTCAGCCTCGTCTTCGTTACCAAAGGCAGAATTTGCAAATAGTCGGTTAATCTCAACGTGTATAAGACTTTGTGTATCGGCAGGCAAAAGAGGTTGTATACCAAAAGAAAGGAATTGGACATTTTTAGTCGCTAAGGGGTCTAAGGAAATTGATCCCCATACTTTTAATTGATCAGTCGAGGCTGAAACCTCAACCCAAGAGGAGGTCTCATCGGGATTTACGATAGCTGCCTGTGACAATATACTGCATACCTTTGGAATACTGGGCTTTTTGTTTGGTGCAGCAGGCGGGAGCCTGATGACAATCTTCTGCAAAGTTCCCACCTCTCGTATAGTGACAGCAACCGGTTCCGGCCACGAAAGCAAAAGTAAAGCAATACTTCGCTTCAGCTCCTCCCAATGTTTATTGTTGCCCCGATATTTCTCGGCCGTTATTGCCCTCTGCTTCACTCTGACGGGCATATTACCAAACAAATCTCGTACTGTGACCCGCGTACCATGGTCGGTATTCAAAAGATGCTGGTGAGAAGGAGTTGGCGTCTGTCGCGAAATCACTTCGGACTTGTGCATGGCAATGGAATTATGGGAGTGGTGCTTGTGGTGGTGCGATGTGATGGTCAGCAGGGCGACGGCCGCAAGGGAAGCGAGAAAGGCCCCTTTCCTTCCATGGAGCAGAGTTTTGCTATTTAGCTTGGAAGAGTCTAGAGTACCAACATTAGCTTGATGCTCGGGACCTTTTGTTTTCGGAAAAAAGTGTCTCACAGTGTAGCTTCCCAAGTCCCCCACCATCCCTGAATTCTGAGGGTGGTATGCCCACACCATTGTCTTCTACGACACAACCTCCTTTCGCATAGTCGACACTGATATCTAGTTTCGTCGAAGCAGCATCGAGCGAGTTCTTGACGAGTTCGCAGATGACGCCATTGAGGCTGGTAACGGCAATGGAGGATTTGATCTGGGCAATGACCGCTGGTGGCAAAGGTTGAATGGACATGATGGGGGTTTCGTGCACATATTGAGCAGGTTGCATAGTGAACGTGGCAGCAGAAACAGGAGCAGAAGCAATAGAGTCTTAGCCAATCATATGTGCCGTGTCGTACTATGCTGCGATCAAGTCGCGCCTGTCAACTTCACCTGGGGGGTTGAGGTTGAAGCCATCTCCATTGCAACTGCCGTGGATGGGACTCCAGCTTGAGAAACCAACTAGGGAGACACGGAGCAGGTATCTTCTTCAGTCTGGTGGAAAGGATGGAAGACACGATCAGGTAGAGATGGCAGAAATGACAAGAGCAAGATTGATCGAGTTCAGTTTATGTGTCAACTGCATTTCTTTAGATGGTTCTCGTTCTCGGTACTTGCAAGTAATGAATTATATTTAGAGTGGTGGGGTTACGAGTACGGGTAGGCTGATTGATCATTGGTGTCCACGTCAAAAGGTCTAGTGCCTGGCCCCTGGTAAAGTGTGCTAACTTTCGCTGGTACCGGGCCACTAGACTGCGCTAGTAACGCCTAGCCTGGCCGACCTGCGCGAGCCTGCGGTCCAGGCCTTGGCGCTATCATAGTGAATGAGCGGCTTCCTACGAGCGATTGGCGCCTACAAACACCATTCAGCCACAACCTACTCAACCCAACCTCTCCCTCATCCTCTCCCATAAATACGCGACACACAAATTATTCTGTCTGGAGCATCCAAAGAGTGCACGTATCGTATCGTATCGTTCTATTCTTCACGTATCCTGAACCTCCTCGTCCATTCTCTCTCCACCGCATTTTCCACCATCAACATGGCTACGACAGAAAGTGCCCAACCGACTCAAGGTACGTACCCCCTACTCACTTCACCCACGATCCCCTTTCACCAAACCACCAACTAACTTTTTCTACGGATCGGCCAGGCCGGCGAAGACCATTCTCCAACTGGATGAAGAAGCTCGCCAACCTCAAGAACTCCTCCTCCGACTCCTCAACCAACAACAACACGTCCAAGCGGAATACCTACCACTCCAAGTCCCATTCCAAGCGGATTACGCAATTGAAAAAGAATAACCCCTATCCCGAGTCCGGCGCGGTCAATGGACATGCCTCGATCCCGAATGCGAATGGTAATGGCAACGGCTCCTTTTCTACAAATCCCACCGGGGTTTCCATGAGCACTCCGTCCTTGAACCGTAGCAGACATTCCGTCATATCATCCAGAGATGGCAACGCTCCACCAACCATTGGCAACAAGTCAACCGCACACACCATGTCCACCGAACCAGATACCGTCCGCTCAGAAGCCGCGCCATCTCATGCTCCGTCGTCGGGTGAAGCAACGACGGCCACCATTGGTTGCGGGGTAAGCTCTGGCAGAGGTGCTGACAGTACTTTCTCCTCTCCAGCACCATCGGTTCGTTCACTTACAACCACACTCACCACCATACACTCAGCTGCGGCCCCGACTGCTCCTACGTCAAATCAAAACACTCAGACGGTCCAGTTTTCCCATCAGTTCCCCACATCTCCGCCACCAACTGCTTTACCAGCACATCTCGCCCCAGTCGCCAGTGGGGGTCATCCTGCTACTTACAACACTGCCACAGCGAATAATCTATTGACAGACAATGCTTCAATCCTAACTTTGGCTTCCTCATCAAAGAGACGAAGACGTAGATCTATGGATACGGACGCCTCAGTGCGAGCTTTGGCACCATCCTCACTCTTTGGTGGCAGCCGAGAAAGTCTTCCATTGAGTGTATTGAGTGCAAACATAGACCCAGCCACGGTTTCACAAACCCCACACCAACCACGAGGTAGCGTGGGCCTAAACGAGAGAGCCAGTATATATTCTGCCACCGGAGTTGCACCCGCACTTCCAAGTGAGCGAAACAGCTATTATGCCGGCAAACAATCAATTATGGCAGATGGCGGAAGTGTCAAGAGTGGTCTTTTGGGTCATGGAAGAAATGATAGTGTGAGTGGCAATATTGGCGCGGTGGGAATTCCTCCTGGAAGTCCTCTCGCCAGCCCTCGTGAGGTTTCTGCCCATGCTGTAGCCGGTCGACTTAGTCGTAACAATTCTACCTTTGAGGCGGTTGACACTGAAAAGTTGGAGGAAAACGAAATTGAGGAGAAGAAAGACAACGTGAAAGCATAAATGGATGGCGCATACACAGAATGGTTGGTAACGGAACGGGTTTGATCTTACTTCTTTGGGACTTCTGGTGTGGGTTTGATTGGGCATTCTTACAAAACGGGTAATACATGGGTGTGGGGGCAGGCGGGATTTGCATTGAGCCATTGTGTGTGTGTGTAGGAATGGCGTCAAGGGATTTGTGGATGTTTCGTGTCAATGATACCCGATACTTTTGATAGTGCATCGTATTTGCTTTCTTTTGTTTCTCTTTTTTTGCTCTGCTTTTTTTGTTTTCATATTTTTTCCCTTTCGTTTTGGACTTTACATGCGTAGACCCTACAGAGAATAGAATGGAATAGACCGAGTCTACTTGTCTTTCTCTCGTTTTTGAATCATATTCGTGGAAATGCGGATTCCTTCTTCAATGTGTGTGCCCCCTCTGAAACATATCCCACCACCACCATTCCCTCTGTCAAAAGAGGCAATACCGACACCTATACTCTCCTTACCAGTAGCTGACATCCGTGAGGATATCACCTACACCCAAGATCCCATCCTTGTTCCGTATCAACATCGAGTCGATCGCTCACTTACATCAACAAGCCGAACCTAGACCTTCCAACTTTCCGTGTAGTCTGTAGAGAGCGGGATAGTTTGTGATGACGAAGCCGTTCATATCCAAGCTGGCAGATCTACGAGACTAGTGAGTATTGCGGTGACACAATGCCGTAAACAGCGCAATGAACCTACCTACTTACAAGTATCGAACTTTAAAACGGAAGATCAGCAGATGACCTTAGGAAGGGAAGTCGTGATACCAAGCGCTGATCAGGAAACTGGGCACGCACGGCACCGGGGGAAAGCTTGATTTGTGATTCGGATTTTTATGCAGTGATGCTTAAGGTCCTCAAGAGGGAATGATGGGGTTCGAGGCCGTTTTTGGGAGTCCCTTGTTCATGGGAGCTGTAACATTTCTTTTTTTTTGTTCTTGTATTTCTGATAATGACTGGTTTTACTGCATGAGAAGGTGGCTCTCGCGTAAACTTTACAATAGAAGAGATCTTGCTAAGCTGGACGATTTGAGGGAAGTAGGGAAGTAAGGATTCGTGATATTGGTCTGTTGTTCGCAGGGGTGTCATGAGATATTTTGAGGTTGGAGGTTTGTATATCTCTCTCAGCCATCTTTGCTATTTATCGCTTGTGAGTTGGTTGTAGAAGAACGAAAAGAGTCCAAACGAGGCTATACAGTATCAATTATTTATAACATAAGCGATAGAAACTTTCAAAGATAGAATTTCTAGCTCTCATTCTATATAGTAAATAGTGGAGTATCATGCAGGCTGAGTCTTAAAGGACGGAGCTGGAAGGTGCTTTCTAAGCCTTGTGTTAGTAGAAGAAGAAAGAGGGAGTAATGAAACGTATACAGAACTAACCTACTAGTCTGATAGATATGCGTGTGCTATATATGCTAAAGTCATTAAGATAGAAGTAATAGAACTCATATAAAACTGACCTGTTAGTTTACTGAATGGAATATATTTATATTAAGCTATTAAATCACTACTTTACATAAATTTAAATTCGGTGTTCTTTTAATGGTTTATTATTGTATAACCTAATAATGACAACTTACGTTTCTTAATAGGGAACAAGAGGGAAGGAAGATAGTTATTTTATTTGGACTGAGATTGAGGGGAGTGAGTTAATGTAATCATGGTACAGAGTTTATGAAATCTAGATTTACTTACCTTTCACAATTTCCCCAGCCTTCGTTTCCTCGTCAACTTTCGAGAGGGCCAGGGCCTGCTTACCTGCACTCTGCTTCGGCGCATCACGCTCATGTAACTCACGCCTCTTTTCATGAACCTTCTTCACCTTCTCTCTAAAATCGCCTCGCGCGAATCCCCACCCCGCAGGACTCCCAAAGATCTCCTCGGGCAACTCCCAACGCTTGACCTGCTCAGCACTAGGCTGCCACAAATCATCACACATACTCCCAATAACACCCCTTCGAAGCGAGTTCTCCACCGCCCATGGAACATGCGCCGCTAACTCCTTCCGTACCGTCGCATAGCCATCCACCCACACCGGACCATGGCCCTCGGTCCCTTCGCCTCCTTGCGAGGGGTGACGGAAGATAACGCAGCAGAGCTTGTTGCAGGAGTAGATACCTATGAAGGCGTGGACGCACTCGTGCAACATGGTGCTGATGAGGTGTTCCTCGCGCGTACCGACCATGAGAGGGGAGGTTTGCAACGCTGGATCCAGATTCAGGAATACTGTTCGTGATGGGCGGTTGAACCATCCGAATGCACGGATGGTCCTGTTGACTTCGAGTTCAATCTTCAGGCCGGCGTGTGAGAGGGTGGAGCCAAACATTCACTCGTCGATTATCTTGAACCAAGCTTGCATTGTTGCCTCGAGTTCTTCGTCATTGGAGGGGGAGGGGATAGGGGAGTTGATGACCTTTTCGTCCGAGGGATTGGGCACGTATTCCTTCATTGGTGAGGCGAGGAAGCGTGCTATGTCGAGGGGACAGTGGGATTCTTCTTTCAGTCTTCGGGGGGTGATGTCGAAGTCGTAGTACGTACGAGGGTGATCGTGTGGAAGGATGAAGTTCCAGTTGTGGGACCTGTAGAGGGGCAGGATGTTTCTATCCGTCAGAGTGTTCGGGTTAGTACCTAGATAAAGGGGAGCGGCTTCTGTGTAGACCTTTGGGGATGGCTTGGGTCGTGCTTTGCGTCGTTGGTTGCCTGTCGACGAGGAACTAACTAAGGACATGGAAGACGAGCCAGTTACCGACGATTAGCTAAGGACGATGGTGGGATATGGAGATGTATACATCTTGTTGAATATACTTGCTTTTCTTTCTTTGGTCTTCTTAATCTAAATTTGAGGATACTTAGCTGTGTGCGGAAATTCGAACTCAAATTTGGGCTGTAAAAGCGGACTGGTGATCGAGGAGAGGATGGAGTCTAGACTCGCCATCTTGTACACCCACTATAGAATTGTTGTGTGGATTCCTTTGGCATTGTCTCTGAATACCGATCTACATTCTTTGTTCCTATGTTGAACCGATAAGACTTTCCTTTGTTTTCGTGGTTGACTAGACGAGTGAACAATACTCATTGTTAGTCTTTCCTAAGCGAGCTTTAGGGGGAAAGCTTATGCCAATGTGTACGATGAAATCTGTTTGCAAACTTTGGTTTAGCTCATATTTCCTCTGATTCATAGACAAAAAGTTGTTTCCTCATTTATTCCCCAAACTTTACAGTGAAAAAAAAACTTGAATGCAACGGAAATTCCTTTTCTCCTAAGACTAGGCTTGTTCTATTTATATCGAGTCAGCGCTTTGTGGAGGAAACTCGATTTTTCGAGCTCCTTGTAGATCCCATGAGTACAGAAGGAAAGCTATCGGAGTTTGCACTTTCAAGTTCTAGGTCGAAAACGCGTATCCTGGGGATCACCTGCCACTCCTGAATTAAAATTCTTGTTGCGTTATAGCTGTAAATACTAAGTAGTATGTAAGCAACGTTCGGCATCTGGAATTCCTTTCTGTTGGTACGAGAGATACTCGAAATAACGGTCAAAACAGTGGTAACAAAAGCATGTAAAAGTTGGTATAATAGTTGATTAATTGATATTATGGAAAGGACGAGTACTAGCTATAAGTACTCGTATATACTAAGCTTTCCGATATCTACGTAATAAAAGTAGTAGATATATCGTAATACTAGGAATACTTTAAAAAGTAGTTAAAACAGTCGAAAAACAATAAATAACAAAGTACGAAATAACTCTACGAATAACCGTAAAAACGATAACAAAATAATAATAAAATAGCACGCTCTTCAATCCCGTTCTACCTATCCGACTCTATTAATCTCGATATAGTTTATATTAATTAGTTGTTTTAAGGCGCTATTTAACTTTAATTTAGTTATTAAATTAGCCGGATTATCCTTCCCCTCTATTAAGGAGATATTGTTAATATCCCTTATTTCGAATATATTACGTAGGTATATTACGTTAATTATTAGCCTCTTCTCTTTAGTAGTTCCTAATTTAGTAATATAATCGAATATAGATTTCGAATTAGTATAACGTGCATGTATAGCGAACCGGCCAAACAAGCGAACCGGCCAAAATTTTCTACACTCGCGATTGAAATTGTAAGAACTCTACCACAACGCCTCTAATTAAAAAACACTATTCAGAAATTTCTTCCTCAGATACTTCCTCTATAATATTACAGGTGCGCGTATTATGACCAGTCTCTCCGCAGTTGCCACAGCGCCGTGCACGTGATTCTTCCCTCGGCTTCCGACCACTACTTCTCTTTATTTCCTGCATTACCTGCTCACCAACGTCTCTATCATCCTGTAGGTCCTGCGCTTCCTGTTGACTAAGTGATCCTCCTTGCTGTAGGCGTGTTTTTTTAGCTCTACGGCGCTTACTTAGTACTTCATTTGCTTGTCGAAGTCTCTGGTTCTCAGCTTTCAATAGTACTATCTGGTGCATTACTTTTGATGCACCCTTCGTAAACTGGTCAATGGCCTCGTAAATAGGGGTTGGAGAGCTACTTTGGTGGCGTAAAATTCGATCTTTAATAAATGCAGTCTGTGATAAGGCTTCAGTAGGGTTATTTGGTGTCTGGGAAACCCAAGGCTGAGCGGAATACGGGGGGGAGTTTGGAGGCGTTGGCGTCTTTAGCTTAAGATCAAGTGTAGAAATTACACTTTCTGGGTCAAATGGAAGAAGCCCAGCCCCTCGGAACCCTCCTCGGATATTGCTTTCTGTCATTGCAATATTAAATGCGGCGTGGAAGGCAGGAAAGAAATCATCCTTAGTAATATGGATGATCTGAGCCCGCATCATATCTTCAATTTGCTGACCATATGCCCTTTTCAAAGGGCTAAAACAGCCAACGTCGAGTGGCTGGAGTATATGAGAAGAATGAGCAGGCATACAAAGAGTGATAATGTTGTTTTCCTTGCAATATTCCTCAAATTCGTCGGAGTGGTGGCTTTCATGGCCGTCGAGGACTAATAGACGATAACCACCAATAGATTGGGACTTTGTATGCTTCTCAAAATGTCGAATCCAATCCATGCCTTTCTCATTTGTTGTCCAACCATTTTCAGTAATAGCAATCACCCAGTTAGGTGGAAATCCACTGTTTTGGTACCAAGAAGCGAGGTGATTTTTTGCGGCAACAATCACAAACGGTGGAACACACCAGCCTTGGGCATTAACCCCCTGGATTACTGTAACCCATTCCCGATTACCAGGCTGTACTCTTTTTGCTTTTACACGTCCTTCTGAGCTTGTAATAACCATTGCAGTTGAGATAACGCCCATCATAAACCCAGTCTCGTCAAAGTTGTAGATATCTGCATCGTAGATTCCGTACTTCGCTATTGTGTTTCGTACAAGCTCAAACCAGCCACGAATGACTTCTGGATCTTCGCACTTAGCTCTCTGATAGTCGTATTTTCGTTGGAAGCGTGTCTGGAGTTCTGGGCGGCGCTTAACAAAGTTATAAGCCCAACGCGTCCCGACGCGTGGCGCGTCGCGTGCTTCAAGAAGTCGATTTGCTATATCTTCAACTACAGATATCCGCGGAGGAAATCCTTTTGTAGCTAGGTCGAGGATATGTTGAACAAGTACTGATTCCTCTAGCTCGGTCATTTTCCGTGAATTGGCTAAAATATCGCGTCGTGAAGGTATACCAAGCAAACGTCGACCTAGCTTCCGGTGGTCTACAGAATAGGTCCTGGCAGCAGCTCGAGCACGTAAATTTGGGTCTTTTTGCATAGCTTGGATAGCTAAGACTAACCGGCTTTCGTCATTTTTCAGAGGCATCCTTCGTTGTAGAGAAATTTAATATTTCGTGGAGGTGTGGTGGGGTCGCCGGGTTTTGGCCGGTTCGCTTGTTTGGCCGGTTCGCTATACATGCACGTTATACTAAAATACTTATTTTAATACTTAAGATCGATAATTAAGTTAAAGATTACATACTTACTAATAAAAGGAGATATAAAATTAGGGATATATTTAGATATAGACTAGGCTACTAGTAAGAAGGATTAGAAGAGTATATTTAGAAATATTATTATATTCTATGGTAGTCTAATATTATAGTTAAGTAAGAAGTAGAGATTAGTTTTAATATTAAGTTATAAATTAGAGTATATTATATTAGTATCTTATATAAAGTAGGGCTAATAGATCGTAAAGATTCTACGGGACCTAGGGCTTAGAAAATATATTAGTAAGAATCTATATCTTATATAGTGTAACGAATACTCAAACTGGCTAACTAAACTTGGCTGGGTGTTCGCTGGTTGGTATGCTATGATAAGAAGAAGACTATCGGGTTGTTCACTTGGAAGTGAACTCGTTACTTGTATCAAAGATGTCAAACTAATATGATAAGATTGATAACTAAGTTGAGCACGAAGCTCCTATCTAAATGGCAGACGTGCCAGTCTTATATAGAACCTTCGTGTTCCTGAAGTCGACATAGTCGATAATCGACTTCTCGACCAGGCGAGAAGTCGACCTGCATATATCACGTGACTTATATACAAAGAAATTCCTGGATCGCTTAACTAACCTAAGCGATCCCTTTTTGCTATAAGAGCCATGATGTGTTTGTCCTGTCAGAACCCCGTCTGGACTAACTCCTCACGTGCCAGCACGTGATTTGTGACAAGTCCGGATTTATAAGGAGTCCGGGTTTTTTACCCCACCATTGACCACCCTACACACTTTCAATCTACATAACTTACCCAATTATTGTTCAAATGTCTCGAAAAGAAGGTCAAATTGCTCTTGCAATCAGTGCATACAATAAGGGTCAATTTACAAGCTTAAAAGCAGCTTGTACAAGGTACGATGCGCCATATTCTACTACTTACGACCGCGTCAAGGGAGCTATTCCACCACACAACTTTTTCGAGGAAAACTTTTCTTCGAATTCCATCAATCCCGCTCAACCAAACGATAGCAGCTAGAATTTCAACCACTCCCCTCTCCTCCCAGGAGGCCTGCCCCTCTGGTGGCAGAGATATATCCGTCAAAAGATAACGTGAAAAATTTTCACCCCCTCTTTCTGACCTCTCACAACCCCTACACCACCAACGCCGCTACTATGGCGACCCAAACACAGTCAAACCCGGAATGGCAACANGATCACGTGAAAGATTTTCACCCCCTCTTTCTGACCTCTCACAACCCCTACACCACCAACGCCGCTACTATGGCGACCCAAACACAATCAAACCCGGAATAGCAACAAGAAGTCATAGAAGGAACAGCCTACGAACCCATGCAACTCTTCAACGAGCCCACGCTCCCCATCAGCCCAATTTACC